AGAGGTCTGCCCTCTGGTGTATATGCCCTGTACAATCTCCTCCCCTTGAGTGTGGGCAGGACCTAGAATATGATGGGTGTCACTTCTGCAAGTAAATTACGTTATATGACAAAAGTAAAGAGATTTTGCAGACATAATTAAAGCCCCTAATAAGCTTGATTTTGAGTTAATCAAAAGGGAGATTATCTTTGGTGGGCCTGATCTAATCAGGTATGCTCTTTACAAGAGGGCTTAGGCTTTTGCTGAGATCAGAGAGATTCTCCTGCTAGGCTTGAAGAAGCAAGTTGCCATGAGTTCTACAAATACAAGGAAATGAATTCTGCCAAAAACCACATGAGCTTAGAAGAGGACCCCCACACTTCAGACAAGACAGTGGTCTTAGTTGACTTCTTGACCATAGGCTTGTGAGTTCTTGCTTAACTTTGCCCAGACTTCTGACCTACAGAAACTGTGAGATAATAAATGAGTATTGTTCTAGGTCACAAAGCTTGTGGTAAATTGCATTAGGAAATATAATAAACATAAATAAATATAAATAAACAGCATTAGGAAACTATTCAGACTTAATAAACTGGTTGACGAGTATCACCAGTTCATAATATTTAAGGTTTGTTATAGCATAAGAAAACTTGAAATGTAATGAAATCTTACAGTATATAGTAACTTAATAGATGTTTTCCAAAATTTGACTATAATCCTAAAAACTTATGTAGCATTATCATAATGCACTGTGAATTAAAAAAAATTTGTGATCAATCATGCTAGGAGTAAAGACTGAATTATCATTTTTTTTCTATCTAGGAAGTATTACAAATTTATTGTCAAATGAAGAGAAAACTAAAAAGTATGGAGCCAAAACCCAAAGGAACAAAAACTATTACATAAATACAAAAAGTACTACATAAAAGGATTTGTGTATTTATTTATTACATAAATTACATAATAAAATGTGTATTTTTTCTAGATTTTATGATGGTGGTATTTGTTTTATAAAATTTGTAAGTTGTGATTTTAGTTTTCATTCTAAAAATTATTTTTCAAATTTTATTTTATTATGTTATGTTAATCACCATACATTACATCATTAGTTTTTGATGTAGTGTTCCATGATTCATTGTTTGCGTATAACACCCA